ATATTGTATGTGTAATAAAATTTTATCTATTTCAATTAGGTCGTACGATTTAACAATCAATGATCAGACCTTCACATTATTGCCACCAATGATCAGTAGCATCAAGAAATACCAAAAAACAATTCACGGTACAACAAAAAAAATAATTTTGATTTGTTATAATAATGGGTGTGGCTTGTTTCCATAGTGATTGATGTGGTACCGTCTGTCATTGAGCCGTCGTTTGGGATTGGGAGAATATTGTACGCAATTTTGGAACACAATTTCCGCAAGAGAGAGGGCGACGAAATGCGTAATTACCTCTCGCTGCCTCCCATCATATCACCTGTTGGTTGCTCTGTTCTTCCTCTTAGCGGAAATAACCAGTTTGACCCGTTTGTGAAGACAATTGGTAAGACACCATGCAACCACCAATTATTATCACTGTATTTTAATGAGTGTTAATTTATATTTTTAGCTGATGGGCTACGAGAGAGAGGTGTCTCTCTTAAGATAGATGACAGCAGTGGCTCTATTGGTAAGAGGTACGCTCGGACTGATGAGGTCGCCATTCCTTTTGGCATTACCATTGACTTTGATACTTTGAAATCAAACACTGCCACACTGAGAGAGAGAGACTCTATGCAGCAGATAAGAGCCAAGGTGAGATGATATGCATGTTCTTAATGTTGTGTAAAACTTTGAGCAGATTTTCATTAAAATTAGTTTTTTACGAATTTTTAAAGTTGCTCAAAAATTGAGCCAAAGTCCCTGTACTATAGTACAGGGATTTTGGCCAAATTTTGCCAAAAATGAAAAGGAAAGAATTCTCCATTTTTATAATTGTTTCTGATGCATATACATGTCCTTATTTAGTGTAGAAGGTTTGAACTGATTCTGATAAAATTTGGATTTATTACAATTTTTTTAGTTTCTCAAAATTGAGCCAAAGTCCCTGTACTATTATTAGTTACATGGTAGCATTACTAAGTAGGATTCACCCCATTTCAAAATGGCTGCCACAACTTTTGCAGCCTTGCTATATATAGTATAGGGATTTTGGCCAAATTTTGTCAAAAATGAAAAGGAGATTTCTCCATTTTTATAATTTTTTATGATGCATGTACATGTACTTATGTTGTGTAGAAAGTTTGAACTGGCTCTGATCAAGTTTGGATTTTTTACAAATAAAAAAAGGGCCATGTACATCAAAAAAATTCCTGCAAGAGTATACATGTATGTAAAATAACACTGCCTATAATATTATATTTAATTTATTTTCAGGTTGAAGTTCTACCAGATTTAGTCCAAGCATTAGTCCAGGGAAGATTGACATGGAGTCAAGTAGTAGAGAAGTATCCTTTATTTATGGGACAAGAATCAACAAAATGAACCAATAATAATGACTCTGACACAAGTATTAATTTTTGATGATATTTAATTTAAGAATTCAATGACAGTAGTCGTCATATTAAAGAGCGAAGTGCTCCCACCCATAAATTTACATGAATGACCACAAATACTATCAATAATCTTCATTCAATAAAAAGCAACACACATACACACAAATTTAAAGACACAATGAAAATCAGTCAATATTGTACCGTGTTAATTAATTGCTAAAAATCACCAAAAGCTACTTAGGCCGAGGACTGATTGGCCTAGGACTGACAGGCCTGGGGCTATGAGGCCTACGGTCTTTCTTTCTCTTGATTGTTCTCTTTTTATTTCGTTTGTGCTTCTGCTGCTTAAGCTCTAATCCAGCCAGTGGAGTCATGACCATAGCAACAGAGGATGCCAGCTGGACTCCGGTACCAACCTTGTACTTGTTGATACGCTGGAGTATCCTATTGACTGCCTCTGGGTTGGATCCTTCCATGAAATCACTGCTATCAGAGACCGTAGCACTCCCTGAAGGAACAGCTAGGGTATTGGCTCTTTCTGATCTGTGACGCTCATTGTCTGATGGTGGGAGAAGCTCATTAGTACCTGAGGCCAATGGTAAGGAATTACGTCTATTTGACTCATCCAGTGTAATACCAGCTAGACTGATTGAGGGCTCTACACCATCAACTGTTGGAGGAACTGGACTGACTGGTTTTACAACTGGACTGACTGGTTTTACAACTGGAATGTCAGTAGTCCTAGGAGCTACTGGTTCATCAGTGATTGGTGTTAGAGTAGGAGGTTCAGTATCTGGTTTTGGTTGTACTGGTTCCTCAGGAGTATCCATTGATGGTTGTTTATTGGCAGGCACTAGACCAGAAGATGAATCAGTAATTGCTCTTAATGGCTTAGACACATCAGGTGTCCCTTGAACTGTATCTCCTTTACCTTCACTCTCTGCTGGTATAGGAAAAACTTCCTCAGAAACAGTTGGTATCGTACCAGTTGGTGATGCAACCATTGGCATAGTAACTGTTGGCGAAGCAACCGTTGGTGAGAGAACTGTTGGCGAAGCAACTGTTGGCGTGGCAACTGCTGGAATAGTAACTGTTGGCGTGGTGACTGTTGGTGAAGTAACCGTTGGTGAGAGAACTGTTGGCGTGTCAACTGTTGGCGTGGTTGGTATGGTAACTGTTGGCGTGGTAACAGTTGGTGAAGTAACAGTGTTTTCTTGTATTTTTCCAGACGGAGACTGAGGTGGTTGGACCTGCTCAAGAGGTTTAACTCCACTGATACCATTGGCTGTTGCAGTTTCCTTAGTTTGTGGTGCTAAAGGCACTTTAACTCCATCGCTATCCTTCCTCTGATCAGACGCCCCTGATGGTTCCTTGCTTTCTTTCTCTTCAATTGATGTTAATTTCTTTAACGATGCTTTCTCACTCTTTGCTGCCATATCCTGCAGTTTCTGTATTTCTTCAGATTTAAGTTGACTGCCTCTTCTAGTGCTGCCTCTCCTACTGGTTCCTCTGCTGGTTGGTCGTAGTGTGGTACCTTCCCTTATCTCCACCAGTAGTTTATCAACAATGCATCCATCATCATCTGGAGGTGGGGCGACAATATTGACTCCTTTCTTTCCTCCTCCTGCAGCTGCTTTGCGTGCAAGGTCTGCCTTTCTCTGCTCCTCTCTCTTCCTCTTCTTTTCCTCCATCAACACTCTCTGCTCGTTTTCCTATTAACAGAGAAATGAGTTAAGATTGAAAGTCATTTCTAGAGCCATTAGGCAAATTAGGCAGCTATTAGGCTAGTGTAAATAATTGTATTATAAACAGAATCTTATTGGTATGCGTATCCTCATTCCAAAGCATGTACTGTGTGTATGCTTTATGTGACTCACTTTGACAGCAGTTTCAATATCTGTAATGATCCCGTTGATCTCAGAGAGACAAGACTCCAGTTTGAACTTGGAGTGGTCCTCACAAAGATAGTCGGCTATTTCTTTTGTGAGTCGCTCGACGTTTTTAATACTAATCTGCAAGGTCTCAATTTCTAGCTTTGAGTCCTTAATGAAGGACTTCACTTGGTCCTTGAGGTCGTCTGGAGAGTGTTTGGTTTTCTTCTCAAGGTCTCCAACTTGAGAACTCAACTCTTTGACCTGCTGTGTAACGTACTCTAGGGAAAGCCTGGAGAGAGAGAGAGAGAGAGGAAGAAAGAAAGAAAGGGACATAACAACTTTAAATTTATCATTTCAAACTTTCTAATTTATACACACACAAACTGGGATGTAAAACATGTCTATTTATGTCTCTCTGTATCTCCCTTTCTTCTCAGTAAACATATCATAGCTATAATATTACTTGCTGGCTTTCTCAAGATGAGGCAGTTGTTCCCTCATCTTGAGCAATGCTGGGTCCTGGTCCTGGCAGACCTGTGCTATATAATGGAGGAGAGACATTCGAGGGACATTGGCTCTGGTATCCTTTAGCTTCCTTAGAGAGCTCATCTTGAATCCATACGCATCACCTGCTCTGCCACCCTATACATGATATAGGAGAAAGGTTATTTAGTAAAGAGGAGTATTGTTAGTTGTAGGGATGTATGTATAAGCAGTAGTGGAAATTGGTAGCAATAGTAAATGAATTGGTGTGGAATTCTTTAGTATCATTAACATGTCTCCACTGTTGACACAACATGCACCAAACTCACAACAAACACTACATTAGGACAATGTCATTATGAGAATACAACGATAGTTTGCATGCATGATAGTTGTAGGACGAGTGTAGGTGTAACAGTGTCACTGTGTTTTATTCTAAGCCCCAACACTCACTTACCCCATTAATGATGTTTCCTGTTATCAGAGCTACATAGCATATGTCTCTAAGTGCACTGCATTCAAGTAATTCTGTATACACAAAATTCAAATTGTAAATATATAATTCTACACTATCACTCCTCTCTTTCTCTCTTCCCCTTGCCTTGTACTCCCAGTGTTAGTAGCTCAATGGATGGCTTAATGTCATGGAGTTTGTCTGCAAATTCTAGTTTGATTTGCATTGCTTCAATACGAACTGGATATCTACAATAAACCACACATTACAATCACATACATTACTTGATTAGCTAACTGTTTGAGTGCAATTAGTCGCATGAAGAAATCTTCTCCGGCTCCAAGCAAAGACTTGTCTCCATTGAACGACTTGAGTTGATCAACCTAAGGTCAGGTAATAACATATAGACAGGTCATGCTAATCATTGTTACATTCACACTGATTGTGTAAACTACATACATGTATGTAGTAACTAAATAGTGTAAAGAATTTTTAATTGTGCTGACACTACTAATCATAATCGGCCTTTGATAAACGACCAACCACATCAATCCATGTTAGTAATTCACGATAAGAAACTTGAGAGTATTCTCAGAAATTACAGACATAACCTAATAATTGCTGTATCTGTTATATGATTTCTGTAGTGTAATTTGCTATTGGCTATATTGGGATTCAAAACTTCCTCATCATGAACATTAGTGATAATTATGATGTGCATTTGCTGCAAGCACTCTTACTAAATTCTTGTCCGGGAGGAGTTTTAGAAGAGCTTTTAACTGGTCAATGCTGATTTTGCTGTTGTCTCCATCACTGATATAACCGACCAGCTGGGCGTTAGGCATCTTGAACTGCTTCAGGAATATGTTTATATTGAGACTAGTCTTCTGATCGAGAAGATTAATGACTGTCTGTTTCTTGGCTCCTTCAGCTCCTCCATCAGGCTCATCTCCTCCTTTCTTCTTTTTCACCACTTCTTGTCTCGAGAACAGCTCTTCCACTTCGTGTGTAAGGACCTTAATCTTTGGAGCAATGTCAGGAGAGCTGGCGGAGTGATGCCAGAGTGTACCGGTCTTCACTGCAGTGTTCCTGTTGAGTTTCTCCCAATTGACCTTCTTCATTTGTTTTGCTGGTTTGTGAGCTCTTGCTATATCAAATACTGAAAGTCTGCCTCCAGCAGGGAGTGATTGGGTTCTACCATCAGGAGGGGGACGGAACCCAGCGGGTAGTGAAGCAAATGGAGGGGGAGGAGGAACACCAGGGACTCCAGGAGGTGGGGGTGGGGCACCAGGGACACCAGGGGGAGGAGGAGGAGGGGGAGGAGCACCTGGGACACCAGGAGGAGGAGGGGGAGGAGGTGGGGCTCCGGGAATTCCTGGAGGTGGAGGAGGAGGAGGTGGTGCTCCGGGGACACCAGGAGGAGGTGGAGGAGGAGGTGGTGCTCCGGGGACTCCAGGGGGAGGGGGAGGGGGAGGAGGAGGGGGTGGGAATGGAGCACCAGGTAATGCTGGAGGAGGAGGAGGGGGTGGTGGTGGTGGAGCACCAAACCCGCCGGGAGCAGGAGGAGGAGGAGGAGGAGGAGGGGGAGGGGGAGCTCCACCAGGCACTGGAGGAGGTGGTGCAGGAGGTGCTGGTGCTATAAAATAAAAACATCTAATTACTACAATCGTATACTATACAATACTATAATCATATTATATAATTCATATAGCATAACCACATTACATGACTCATACTAGCACTACCTGATGATGGAGCATTCTTAGCCTCTTTGACTGCTTTTTTAATTTTCTCCAGACTATTAGACTTGACCTGTTCTTGTGACCCACCGTCTTGCAATAAAACACAAGCACTTGTGAGCTCTTCTAATAACGGCCAGACTACATCAGACTGCTTACTGCCTCTCTCCACTAGTACCATACTCTGTAGGATATTGAGTAGATTCATGGCATGTGGTGTCCCAAGCACCTAACAAGAGATGGAAAGAGAGAGAGAGAAAGAAAGAAAGAGAGAGGGAGAAAAAGAGAGAGTGAAAGTAAGAAGGAAAGAGAAAGAGTGACAAATGAATAAAAACGACTGCCCAAAAGTGACAGACACACTATACAAGCTTATTACAGACACAACCGCTTCTTGTACCTTCTCGTAAACAAGTCGAAAGACGGCCTCGTGATTCTGCAAGTCTATACCTTCAACCTCTTGCTCTTCATTATCAGATGCTGCCCCATCCTCAAATACATCAATCTGTGTCAGGAGGACATCACTAGAGGAGGTCCTATTATATAATAATGTATAATGATGGCATAGTCTTGCTAATGATGCCGAGCTTACTTGAGCATAGCTAGTATATCGTGTAAATTTAGAGCTATAAAAATAATAATAATAATTAACAACCTGTTATTATTATTGTATTATTATGTGCGATAAATCCCAGGTCAAAACAATTACTAGAATTGTCTCACTATGCACTATAGAAATCATTAAATGGATTTACCGCTACAGCTGTTAGCAATTGATACTTCATTGTCCTATATAGATTAAGTGTGTAGCATTCATTTGCACGCTAGTTGAGGGTAACAAGTATGGCTATAATAAAGGCCTCCTTACTTGACAATTTGATGCCAATTACTCACAAATCTTAAACCACTTGGCAAAAGGCAGGCATGCATTTCACATTACACACAAGCACACACACCACACATACTCCCTCTCTCTCTCTTGCTTAAAATTTCCAAAAAACAACCATACAATTCATCTATCAGTGTGTACGGCTGGACATGGTGTGAGATTGTATGTACTTGTGCAAGCATCATGACAGAATAATTAATATAATAAATTTCATTTCATTTTCATAGTTAGATTACTCACCTAGTAGTTCGTTTCTAATTTGTATGCGTTCGTCCAGTGAATCAGATGAGGCTATTAGGCAGTTGATGAATGCAAGGACACAGACGGAGTACTCGTCTGTTTCGCTGGTCCTCAGCTCTTGAATCAGTTTACTGAAGCGGTGGGGCTGAGCACAATTTTTCTGTAAGACAACAATAAACACAAATTAAATCACACACACAAGACATAGCTTGCATACTTTATAATGAGTGAGGGCATCAAGGGCTAGCGAGTGTCCCTCTTCAGAGTAGAGAGATAGAGCACTTAGGAGCTCAAAGACTTGGACCTTGACCAGCCTATTGTTAGAGTCTAGCTCTGTAAAGTGAAGAAATTTATTAATAACTCGATACAAAAGGACCAGTTCTACTTACCCTCGCTTAGCTTACGGACGTATTTCTGCTCTGGGTAGTGTATGATGAAGTCGAGGCCGACCTGAGAGTTCATGACTGCTTTGATGCATCCAACGCACTCCAACTGGCGGATAGCGTCAGTCAAAGAAGCAAAGCCTTTCTCGGCCAGTATCTGCAGGGCATCAAAGATAGCCGATAGGCCTCCCTGCTCGAGAAATCCTTCCATCCAGGCCCTGTCGGCTTTCTTGAGGACATTCTTCAAACTGGTGAAGTGCTGGGCTCGGTGCAGGAGTGTTATGCAGAGCTCCGGATCTGCTCCCTCGAGATTGGTGACTCCTGATTCCGAGGGAGGCTTGTCTTTTTTGACAAGGTTCTTGGCTTTTCCCCACATTTCAAGGCCAGGGGTAGGTTAGGAGACCTTGTTTTAAAAAGAGAGAAATGTTTCTTGTTTTGCCAAGTGGTGAAGAAGAATTCGCTTAATAAACCATGACCACATTGCAATTAAAACAACTACAGGAAGAGCGTCGATATAATAAAAAGCATCATTTCCGTCATAACAAAATTAATGACCTCAATTTCCTGAAAACTGATACTATAATGCATGACTGATGCAAGCAAAATACATTTCTAACAGCATGGAAAAATTAACATACTAAATTGATAAATTTCAAAATAAATATAATTTGTGACACATGCAGTGTATGTTAGTTATAAACACTGAAGCATTCTATCACACGTGGCATGAAGATGTCCAAAAGTGACTCCTAATAAGGCAAAAAAAAATATTTAAAATGTGGTTCAAAAATTACATCCGCCCATACATGCGTACATGTACATACCTCTTCATGAGGACAGAGCTCTCTTGCTTTCTGCTCAATCATGGAACAGACTAAAATGGCTGCAACCCCAACGCTCAATGAAGATATGAAAAAAGACTGTCTTATTATCCTCATGTGCTTTGGAGGCCAAATGAAAGCGACAAAAACTAAAAAAAGGAAAAATAATATACACATAGTGTAAAACAGGCTGGCAAAATGAAGGAGGAACAAGTAAACAATAGGAAATATGAGGGTTGCTCATGTTATTGTGAGATTAGATAATAAAAACTATAATCATAGTAGCTATGAAACTCATTGTTATATCAACACAAACTCCCTACCTCCCACACCGGCAAACATGACTGTCAAGATTGGTATAAATACGCCCATCGTGACTCCTATTACATACTCATGAATGATCGATGAAGCAAACAAAGGGACAAAGAGGACCAAAGGCTTGAAACGTGTAACCTTCAGAGAAAGGATATATAATTAAAAATTATCACTAGAGAGCCAGTGATCAAACACACAGATGGAGCGATAATATTTAAAGTGAATTAGCACATAGGTATCAATTCAAAGTATTTATCCTCTGTGTTGGGTTATTAATTTATATATCATCATGATAATTATATAGTAGTAACAATTAATTTTTTTGCTTAACCATAGTGCAGAATTTTGAGCAACATAAAAAATCATTAAAAAATCCAAATGTGATCGAAATCAGCTCAAATTTTCTACACAACATAAGAACATGTATATGTATCAGAAAATTATAAAAATGAAGAATTCTTTTCTTTTCAATTTTGGCCAAGTTTGGCGAGTGATTCTGTACTGTAACAGTACAGGGACTTTGGCCCAGATTTTGAGCAACTTAAAAAATTCATAAAACTTCCAAACTCAATTCAAATTTTCCACGTAACATAAAACAATGCACATGTATCAGAGAAATTTATAAAAATGAAAATTTCTGATACCTTGTACCATTACAAGGTATAATACCCTTGTATAGGGTATCAATGTTCACACGTGCATTCACTAGAATTGCTTTAAGCTCTCTGTCTATCACGATTCTCATTAAGAGTTACAATTAGTTTAGCTACCTTTCTGACATCATTGTAGAGATAGTCGTGTATAAAATGATGAGGTATGTTATTCCACTTCCGATAAAACTCAGTGAATATAGTCGAGTTCCACCAATCCTAGAATGATTTCACATTAGCACTAATCATGATAGGAGGAATAGTTTACATAGAAAGACCAGATAGTATTAAATTTATTTTATCTAAAGTGTTTATGCACGCATTTCCTTACTGAATAAAACTCTCTGTCAGCAAAACCAGTTATTTCAGCTCCAAAGTTCATCCACCCGTGCATTACGCATATTGATGCAAGAGTGCTTACTGCAAATCCTGGAGGTATAGCAACGATGAAACAATGGACCAATTCCTTCCAACTATAGGGATGAAATAGACTAAGATAATTCATACAAGAAATATTAGCAAATTGCAAAATTTCGGTGATTGGCGAACTTTAATTTGGTGAATTTGTGGCCACGTGCCATTGAGCATGTGCAAAATGACTCAAAGTGGTGGGTTTCATTCTGGCAAATGGCCATCAAAGCACCAAATTAGCCAAATTAACTCCCTCCAAAGTTTTCTGCTATATTAATATTATGGTACTCTGATACGACTTACTGTAATGATTTTGGATACAGGTAGCGAGAGAAGAATGGCAAAACTATCAGCAGTGAAATTATAAACTAGAAAAAAGTAAATATAAGTGTACTACTCCCTTTCCTCTTTCTGATAATCTTACACAAGCCAAATATATGATAGCTTTTTGCCAATTCACAGGCCCAGAATTTCTAAATGAAAAGTAAACACAAATTATCAAATTGGATTTCCTACTTCTTACCTAGGATAGTGATCTCTGTATAATAATGTAGGACAGAACAGAAAGTAGATATACTGACGGAACGATCCAACTTTAGGACTCATTTGACCCTCATACCACACAGCAGGGCCAGTCTTATCATCCTTGCTCCAAGGATACAATACCTTGTATGCATTCTCACGCACAAACGAATAAGTTTTCATACAGAAACGTAACTATAGCAAAAGAAATCTAAACAAAAAATGTCATCAGTGTACCTGCTCGATTGCAAGTGTAGTTACAACAAATGGTGGTAGTTTGAAGTATCCTTTTGCCCACCATAAAGTAGGGAAGGTCCCAATAAACATACACACATACATGAGCCCAAATACAGGATCAAACAGGACACTGAGCTTTCTCAAATGAAGCCAAGCCTAAATGAAGCATACAAATACTTATATTAACTAGAAAACAAGTTTAGAATAATAATAGATTTGAACCATTTAAATAATGGATAAACACCTCCTATGAGGTGTCTATGGAATTTGGAAACCGAGGGTGAAGCCCGAGGTTACAAATTCCATAAACGCCTCATAGGAGGTGTTTATCTGTTTTAAACATATTCATGGGAACATAGTTATTACAAGTGGTTATAATTAGGCTCAAGCAATGGTAATGGTACGGTATTCTGTTCAATGGCTTCCATGAAGTGGTCTCACACCTCATTCATATCATTAACATCAAACAGAATTATTCGTAAATAGTTTAATACTGGTTTATTATTTAATTTCAGCCTTGAGCCTTTTGATATCAAATTGCCAATTCAATTAACAGTAAGTTCAAAAGATAGTTTAGTGTTATATCAACTGTGAAAGTTTGTGACATGGACTATTACAAAATTATACTGAGATTTTCTAAGCAGAAATGTGTTATGTTGTGGTCAAGCATTAAATAGATGCAGCACCTACTTAATACTGACCACAATAGAGCATACACATTTCTACTTGCCTATCATGCAAATTTAAAAGGAAAATCACAGTAATCTAAGAAAGGATCTAAGCTAATAAAAAAGTGCACTAGTCAGTGTGACACTCAATGATAACAGGTGTCCTTGGCAGTTGTGCAGTAGCAGTTAGTAGACAAGTACCATTACAGTAAACAGGTTGGACTAGTCAGTTGTCTCTTACCATAAAGCATGGGTAGAACAGGAAGCCAGCTATTAGAATCAACACTTCTAACATCATAGCTCTGCCAATGTCCCCCAGAGATCCCCAGCCACCAAAGTAATAGTCTACATTCCAATACAACCTATTAGAAAGGAGAGTACTACTAATCAATGGTTCAGAGTCTAATATTACCATTAACCATGCATAGAATGTCAATCAACATATCACTATAATAATTGTGAGGCAGTGGTCATAGGTATACATTCTTAAATAGAGCCCTCGAGTTCTATGTCCTATCTGTAATTTGGATTACTCTATAGGCCTCTATTTCTTCCTTAGCTTCCACAATATACGTAATTGAGACAGGCATTAATTGGAGAAAAGCTTCAATTAAAGAATACATACTAATTTCCTTGATTGCAGCTATTGCATTATAATACCATAGACCATTATAAAACAAAAAGTAAACATTATGCACCATACAATAACAACAATACAATACATTCATAGACTACACCTACTGTCCAGCCTCCATGGAGTCATGGGCAATGAAGCAAAGAAGGTAAAAGGCTGTAGCAGTAAGCCCAATGAGTACCAGTGAACGAATGTGCTCATTGTCCTTGACTAGCTGCCTGCAATAAATAATAATTTAAATGACACTGACACATTCAAAGCATATCATTAAAGTATATATAAGAGAGTCTCTAACATGAATCCAAATCACAATATTACACTCTACATCTAAATAAGACAGATACATTAATTATTTAGAAAAATGCTGCAGTTTAAACTAGCTCCAAATAAAATAGCTAAATATTTGTTGTGCTTACTCGAACGGGGACTCTCTCTTTTTAAAAACTACCACGCGAGGATCAGCAGAAACTTGCGGTCTAAAAATGGAATTCAATATGTTACTGACCTCGTCAATAAAAACAACAATAGATTTACTTTTTCATCTCATCTGTTCCATTGCTCTTCATCTTCAAGCTTCGCCCAAAATGAGCCTCGCCCTATGGCCTACGTTGGAAAAATGTGGGCGTGGAGGGTAGTGAATAAAAACATTATTATTGCTAATTAAGGCCGCGTTTACACAGCTATGGTTTCAAGCAAAAACGAATGCTTTTGTTTGCGTTTGCACCTTCTTTTACACAGAAACGTGCGAAAACGCTATGAAACGGGCTTCCAAAGTGGAGACTTTTGAAAACGCATACATTTGAAAACGGTAGCGTTTCTGTGTAAACAGCTAAAAACGAATACATTATCAAAAAAGGCACAAAAAGCTAAATCCTAGTAATATATCAGAAAGTATACTCACTACTGGTCGTATTTTCTACAAATATAGCAAGCTTTGTCAGAAAGAAAGTTGCTTTCAAAGCACATTTTCCTTGCCCACCGCCATTTTATTTTACAAGTTATTAATTAAAATTATTATGCGTGTACGTTATTAACATTAATTAAAGTTATCCTGGCTGTGTAAACGCGTACGCATTGAAAACGTTGCGATACAAAATTCAAGTAAACCGTTGCTGCTGCTAGGATTTTTATACTTGTTTCTCTTGCGTTAAAAATAATAATTAATTCACATTAACATTAGTAGTAGTAGCTCTCATATTTATCTGTTAATTTAAGTGTCATTTGTTTCGACTGCTTCTTCTGGTTATTTTTCTTTTCCTTCTCTTCCTTGTCTCTTAATATTCTCTTCCTAGCACACAAAGTAAAGTCTTCCTCCTCATCATCATCATCGCTCTCTTCCTCTCTCTCTTCCTTCTCCTCCTTCTTTGCAGCGGCCATATGCAATTCAGCTTTACGACCCGAAGCCTGAGGCAGTTCAGATAATCTTTTCTCTCTCTCTTCCTCTCCTTCTTTTATCTCTTTCATTTCTCCGGCGGACACAAAGCGACCAGCGTACAACCCACTTGAAGACGTTGCTGTGGATTCCAAGGAGGTGGTGGACGGCTGGAGACTCGTACTGAGAATATTCGATTGATAAGAGGACATCTCTTCACTCCCGATTGTTGCCAAGTGACCAGCTGACTGAAACTTGACGCCATATTTCGCCAGTCGTCCTTTCTTCTCAGCTATCTTTCTCTCCGATTCCGCTATCTCTTCACTCTTTCTCTTACGAAGAGCAGAAACAATAGCTTCTCTGCTCTCTATCATAGCTGCCACATCAACCACAGGTTTGACTGCAGAAGCACCGGAAGATGAAGAGGATTGACGTTTTTTTCTAAAGTCCATTGGCTTAAATCCAGGGAGGTCACCACCCTCTAATAATTGCTGGTATCTATGTGTGAGGGAGTTTAGATATTATAACATACTGTATGTATTATAATATAAAAATACAATGATGTTTGTTTGAGCAGAAAAGTAAACTGGATTAACTTTAAAGATTCCATGGTTAAAGTCAATTGAAGTGATGGTTTTACTAATGGACTAGCTGATACTAGTGTAGCAAAAGAGCAACTGATAATCAATAACAAGTACATTCATCTTTTATCTCTACATGTTATTATTATTATATCAAGTATGGATTTGCTTCACTACCTTTCCACTTTCATTTGTGCCCTCTCTTTAGCAACAGCTTTCAACGATGCTTTCTTCTGCTGGATCTCCTCTGCTGTCCCCTTGGGTGTCTTAGTCTTTAGGCCAGTCTCAAACTGCTTCAAGTCTTTAAGTCTCTAAAATCATAAATTAATATAAATATAACATTGAGTTTTCTTCTAGCCACATCAATAAAAATTTATGTATCAATAAAGTTTATGTATAAGAACATACTACACAACCAAAAGTTATCATGCCTGAATCAGCACTTTTGCCCCAAAATAATTGAACATGTCTGATATCCTATACTGGTACAGCCCTGACACATTATATTATAGATCATGCCTGATATTCTGGGATGAATCAGTACAAATTTTATCATGATTGTATCATGGCTGATTTTCGCAGTTGTATCATGACTGATTACACGAAAACCATGATTCAGGGCTGATATCAGTACAGATTCAGACTGATATCAGTCCTGATCTAAGCGATAACAATTGGTTGTGTACATGTATAGGCATTGTATGCACATAACATACATAATATGCTACACAGTACATGTACAATTTAAATAATAGCATATAGTATTGTTTAATACACTGTACACAGTACCTGTCTGTGATGGTGGTCATAAGAGTTGAGGTGATTGTCATACTCTGAATATTTGTTATACTGCTTCTCACATAACTCGCAATGATAGGTCTTCCGTAATTCTTGTGTTGCGTCAGCTATAGCCAGCTCCTTAGCAACCTGCGCCTGTAAAGAAAGAATGAGACAAGATAGATTAAAGAAAGAGAGGGTGTTTTTTATATATTTCTGACACACTGTCAGAAATATATCAAAATAGTAGATAGATCATTAGTCTTACCTTATATTTATCAATGAGGCCTGGTGTGAGCTCCTTCTCAATCTCTAATTGTTTCCTTTTCTCTGTTGCTTCAGATGCTAAGTCCAACTATTAAGGAAGAGAGAGCCAAGTCTCTATAGCTACTGCATGGGTAATTATATTATATAGGGTTACCTCCAGGCATGGGGTCAAGCACTTGGTGCTTGTACTTAAGTACAAATAAGCACAGCTTTCTAAGTACTTAATGCTGCTTAAAAGTACCTTTTCAATATAATCTATGTGCTTCGTCGTACTTGTACTTAATTACTTTTACAAATTTACAAAAGTGCTTTTAAAGCACAGCAAAAATTACACACGAATAGTGTACATGTACATCTACATGTAGATGTACATCTACATATACATCTACATGGTACATGTACAGGTACATGTACATGTACATGTACATTCAGACACACATAAGTACATGTATATTCTGTATTTTTATTATTAAAAAAAAATCTTACCACACATGTAAAAAAACATGTACATGTACATGTAGTATACAAGTTTAGTAGCACATTGTGTGACTGTGTGTTAGCTTGAAGAATGGTAATGGCATCACCATTAGTGGTATCACTCCAAAGCTCTCTGCTGTTTCCATTTATTATGAACAATTGACAGAGTTAGTGTTTATTAGATGCAATAGTAAATTAACTATAATTGTAATTTTACTTTATTTTTACACTTATTGACTATCTAGTACTTATTAATGTAATTAAGCACTCTGGGGAATGCTTGTTCTTTGTACTTAAGCACTTATGTTAAAGCTATAGATTGTGCTTGTGCTGGTAATTCTAAAACATTTAAGTGCTTGTGTTTGTGTTTAAGCACATTTCCTAGTGCTTGACCCCATATCTGGTTACCTCCATCTGGAATCTCCCAAGGCCCATGTTGTCTCCCTTTAGCTCTAATGGTATTGGATCCTTCCTACCTGATTAGTATTACATTATTACAAGAGAGGAGGGAATAGGAAAGAGAGGGGTGAGAGAAAGGGGTGAGGGAGAGAAAAAGGTGAGAGAAGGGAGTATCTTAATCAATGTTCCAATTAATTATAGGCAATAAGGTATGTACCTTGTGTACAAACAAGGTAATAAAGTTAGTTACAAAGTATTTGTTACCTCATTAGTTGTTTTAATGGGTGGGCATTAATTGGAGGTTCCCTAATTGGCTAACCTTGTTCATTCTTTCCCAGCCCTCCGCTGGTAGACCAACCCATCTTTTGCATCAACACGAACCCCATATTATTCTAAGATAAGTATAAAAGGTAAAGAGACATTCACTACATTATAATAATACTTTAGGAATGGGAATGTGAAGACCAGCACTTTCATCAGGTTCTATACCATCCACAGCATCATCGTAAGAGGTAACATCAGAGGCCTAATGAAAGGAAGAAGGAGCAGAAAAGGAAGATCATCTTTCTCTATCCCAGATCTCACTGTCGTGTCCCTTTTCTCAGAAAATCTAGTGAACTTAGCCGCCATTTTGTTTAGAGGATGTGGTCACTGGTCAGGAACGCAGCCATTTTCAAAGGGGTGTGGTCAAACGAGCCCCGCCTTGTTTTGCACTTTGCAGAAAATGGCAGCCGCTGACACAACTGATAGTATTTTACTAGAGGCTGGCTCTGACCCAGCCTTTATGAAGCTCCAAGGAGACACTGCACCCTTAGAATTACTAGCAGAGGTATGCAAAATTTGTATTGTTGTACCACTACTAATTTGATATTTATTTTAGTTTCTGAGGTGTGTAATGAGTGAGGAATTTCCTGCTGCTAGATTGCTCTGTCAGAAAGGTATTATGAAGTCAGAGTCCTTAAAAGTGTTACTGAGAAACTATAATTATAGTTTCTGTGCACATTGCAGGCATTTTTGTGGTCTGAGCCACGCCCAAAATATCATGTTCCATATTTTAAATGTTCACTGTCACTATAATTTGCACTTTCTCTGTGATATTGAATGCACTTTGTTCATGTGTCCATTTCATAATTTTTTTGTTTGTTAAATCTATATCATTATTTAGTTCTGTCTCTTGAGCCTGGAAACAAGACGGCTCAGGACTTTTTACCCTGTCTGGAAGAAAGAATCCAGTTAGGTAAATGTCTAAGAAATCACATTTAGCAATGCCAAAACTTTGCTGGTCATTAAATTAATGTCTCCAAAAGCTATCTGTTTATGTTTGTGTTTGGTATAAATTACCACAAATAGTCTAGGAATTGACACTAAACATTGGGCAATTTAATGAACACAATACCACTTTAATGGCTCTATGACCTCAAAAATGTATCTAATTTTACACACGAGCTGCATCTATGTGGCATGCACTGTATTAATATTGCTTTTCTTGTATGTAATAGATAATGAATTGGAGACAGAATCATCATCCAGTGAAGAGAGTGAAGATGATGATGATGATGATGATGATGATGATGATGACGGTGACAGCAATGACAGTAGCTCAGATGAAGGTTCAAAGGCTAATGGAGTAGATGAGCATAATGGTCATCGTCATTGTGGTTGTCATGCTAGCGATCATCAAAGGGATCATTAACTGCTCTCACAGACTCCCTTGATTATTTGTTTACATTAAATCACCATCATTAGCTTGCATTTTTAAAATGCCTTAGCTTGCGGTACGTCTCTACTGAATGCTTTATTGTTGAAAGTATAAAATAGTAATATAAAAATTTAATAATATAAAAGGACAATATTCAATCAGAAGATAGATTAGGGAATAAAAATTGTTATAATTGTGAGTGACTATCTTTTGTAGTTTAATGTTTGTTTTCAAACAGCAGGCTTGACATTCTGTTCAAAGCGTCCCTGCACATTTCCAGCCGGTAGATAATTGGCAACAACATAAGTTGTCTGTCCTCTCACAGTATATCCAAAGCCAGCTTCCTTTGAGCTCGCCCACAGTAATTGTGTAAAGTGGCCGGTAGATGAGGAAAAGCCCGGGCGATCAAAACTGTAATCTTTAATTTCATTGTACCACATTTCTGCTGTGTATGAGGCTGTGAGTGTACCGCCAGAGTAATAGGCCAAGTTTTGTCCCATTCCATCATGATTTCCATGCTGGAGGCTGCCTGTAGAAGCTAAATGGTCTGCCCATTCCTGTGCTTTTGCCGCAGCTTCAGCTGACCATTTGAGAGGAGGCGAGCCGTGCTTTCTCCTGTATCTGTTGTGAGCAGCAAGGAGATCCTTGGAGAACTCATCAGGACCATTAGAACCTTTTTAATGCAGGGTTTAAATTAAAATCTGAAGAAAAATTACTTACCTTTACAGCAGCAGCAACCCATTGTGTGGTGATCTGTAATGGAAGATCTTCAGATTTCTATGATTTTATAATGCATGACAATAATCACAAAATTAGATTTTTAGCACTAACTGCATTTGCGCATGCGCAGTGGGCGGAGAAGGAACCCACGTGTAATGTTTACATAGAGCCTTAGGAGGAAAATGGGTAGAAGGCGAAAGAGAAGGTCTCCTGTTCCACAGGAAGAAGTAAGTTGAGAAGGTGACAGTATGATAAGTTTTCATTCCACAGAGCACCGATACTACGTCTGATGATGACCTAATACCCAGAGATAGGTTCACTCAAGCCACTGGAAGTGTGGAAGGGAAACGTGCTCAAGCAGAAGATGAACAATCTCCCAAAAGAAAGAAGAAAGGGACCCCGTCCAAGGGAAAAGACCAAGTACCAACCAAGAAAAGAAAAATATACAAGAACAGAGAGTCTCTTCTTACGTATGTTGTGTGAACATACTAATTAAATTTATTTGGCACCCTAAACCTATAAAATTAATAATAATAGCATATGCTGACATCTGTCATTTCCTCTTATCATTTGAACTATCCCTCTTCTGTCTCTCTTCTCTTTAGTCAGTTGTGTGCAAAGGATAAGAACATTGAAGCATTGTATCATGTACTTATTATAATGATATGTGTCGGCTTGCTTTACTCATTAGTACACGATTCAATTGAAGCAGGGAAGTAAGTGTTGTTATTATTATTATTATTATTAAATGGGTATTCATTAGCATATACATTTATTGATAGCAAGCCATTTTTATGCTTTGCCCTTGGCTTATTAAAGGCAATTTGGAGCTCATGATAGTTTATAATATATTATTAATGATAATGTTTTCTGTTTGTTGCATAATAAGGAGTAGCATCCTGACTTGTCTTCTAAGATTGTAAACACAGATTTGTAAACAAAGGATTGGCTTGAACATGTATACGAAATATTAAAAAATATCTTCGAATTATTTATAATCAAATTGAAGGTCATTTTGTCATGGTTTTAGCTTTGTTCTTCTCTTTTCAGGCCACATGTTGATTTTCGTTACTACTTTTCTGGTTTTGGGCCACTCTCTCATCAAGGGTTTACATTATTTGTTTGGGCAGTACTACAGCTGATAGCATTTTCTGTTTATCCTATTTTTAAAGTAAGCAACCTCTTTTCCCTCCCTTCCTTCAAGCTTCTTTTTGACTATATTTTATTTCAAAATTTCTTTCTTGTCATCCTTTGTAGTTGTGGGTTTTGCTTCACAACTGGCTTGGCCTTATAGCAGACTTGGTCTTCCTAGCTCTCCTTGGCCTCTACAATCTCTGTGGCTATGGAACAGTTATTTGGATGATTCTGTATTATGATATGTATCCAGTCACTGCCTTGGTTCTCAACGTTGAACAGGTTTGTCTTGGTATCTGTTTACTTTGAGTCATGCAGTTGTTGATCATTCCAATAATTTTTTTATCATTGTAATCTGATGATAATATTGCTTTAATATCTGAATGGCTTAAAGTGTTTATTTTTCTTTCCATACCTCAGTTATCCTGTCTCTTTGCTATAGTTACGTTTCTGTATGAAAACTTATTCGTTTGTGCGTGAGAATGCATACAAGGTATTGTATCCTTGGAGCAAGGATGATAAGACTGGCCCTGCTGTGTGGTATGAGGGTCAAATGAGTCCTAAAGTTGGATCATTCCGTCAGTATATCTACTTTCTATTCTGTCCTACATTATTATACAGAGATCATTATCCTAGGTAAGAAGTAGGAAATGGTAGTTCTTTTAGCTGTCACTTCTTATTTCTAATAACAGGACTCCCAGGATAAGGTGGATGAGAGTGTTATCCTGCCTAATAAAGGTTAGATTTGTTAAGTACAGTTTTCATGACTTTATTGTTCTCACTTTTATAGTGTTGCATCACCATTGCTTTTATAACCATTTTAACAAAATCAATCTTTTCCCTGCCACCCACCAGGTAATAATAATTAATCAATTTTGATCGGAATCAGCTTAAACTTTCTACCTAACATAAGCACGAAATTTGGCCACAGACAATGTACTACTGATAGTAATAGTATATGTTGTTGCATTTTAGAGTAATGTTAAAAATGTCTGAAAAATCTTGGAATCAGATCTGAACTGGCTCAAACTGCATGTACATAGTACTACATGCATGCTTATTAGAAAATAAAATTAAGCTTGTTGTTCTTTTTTGTTTTTTAGTGCCAAGAATGTCCTATCAACATTCCTCACTTGCTCATTGTGGGGCCTCCTTTACATGTTTATGACTGGGTACTTCTTCCTACACTCATGGCTAAACCTTTTCTCTGAGCTGTTCACATTTGCTGACAGAGAATTCTATTCTGTGAGCTATTTTCACGCCTGTGTTGTGTTATTTTAACCTTTACTGCCCAAGATAAATGTTTGCATGTTTGAGAGTGTTTCTCTCAATAGTTATTACTGCCATTGTAATGATAATAAGCATCCATTCTCCTTTTTTGGCTGTTACATATTCTAGTATGTCTATTTTGATTATTGATTTGAATGGTTTATGACCTTGCTTTTAAAAATTTATTTCAGGACTGGTGGACGTGTCATGATTTCGCGTCTTTTTATCGAAAGTGGAACTTGTTAGTTCACGATTGGATCAAAGCATACATATACTCTGACTTGAAAGATGTAAGACAAAAGGAACTTGATTTGAAAAGGGAATCTTTAATTTTTTTATGCTTTTTTTATTTTAGTTTTTTAAGAGTCCATTGTACAACAAAGTTGCTTTCCTACCCACTATTGTCATATCGGGTATATTTCACGAGTATGTCCTCTGGGCTCCATTGAGATTCATCATGCCATTGCTCTTGCTTCTCTTTGGAATATTTGGATGTAAGTTTTATGGAGCAGACACAATACTCTACCATATAGTAGGCATATTCTGTCAGAGTTTAATATCCTTTGTAGAAAATTTAAAAATACATTTCTGAAATGCTATATTTACATGCAGTATGGTAGCTCAGAATGGAAATAATGAAAGCCTTTCATCTTTCCAATTTTTCCTGACAAAATATATCCATTGTATGGTAAATTTTGTGGGCAACAAGTTAAATCATACATGCTTATACTTAAGTCCATTTCTCTGCCTCTTTTTTTATTATTTTCTGTAGCTATTCTTTTCATTATAAGGCCATCCCCAGATGTCAAGTTTTGGAATTATTTCCTTCACATCGGTCTCCATTTTGGCGTGTCTCTCATGATATTCCTCTACACCATGGAGTTCTATGCTAGAGCATTGTGTCCGAAGGAGATTAGTTTCGTAAATACTTTTGTACCGCGTTTTTATGAGTGTTACTACACAATGTCATCCAGTGAAGAACAGATCTGAAGGCCAACCTCTAGTTTTAGTTACATTCTTCTTGTCTATTTTACTTTGCATTTCGTCCTATTGTTTTTTTTTCATAATTTATTTTTGATTTTACTGTGTTGTAGGTAATGGTTTTTACTATCTCTCCCTCAAGAGAAAATTAATTATTTAAAGTCTAATATTAATTTTATTTATAGTCTAATATTAATTAAATATTAAGTTTCTGTGAGACACAAATAATTTCAGTGAGAATGAAAATACAAAAAAATAATTCTTCACTTTTATAAAGTGCATTATAAATTAGGTGCATATCTCTTGGTTAGATGTATCTATACATTCACCCAGGCTCCTTTGTGTGTGTGTGTGTGTGTGTGTGTGTGCGTGCGTGCATGTGTGTGTGTGTGTGTGTGTGTGTACATGTAGGTGGTGCAATATTAGTGTTAGTCTTTTGTGAATGAGTGTGTGTATGTATATATGTACTGTGTGTATTATTGACTGCTGCTTGCTGCATACTAGTTACTGTAGTGTGAGGTGTCCATGGTGCATATGAAATTCAAACTCGTGCACATTTGCTAATATTCATTCCTAGTCCAACATGGATCAAACATACTGTGTATCAGTCACATTATATTGAGAATCTCCAGCGAGAGGTATAGAGTCGAGACTATTGAATTTTCGATAGCAGGAGAACATTTGTGGTTGAAATAGAGTTTTGAATGTATTGTCCTGTGTTGAAATAGAGACAAATATCCAATTTAATGATATTGGTGGATTTCAATGATTTTACAATGTCAGTCGCAACAGTACAAGGAAACAGGGTTTCCCGCAAAGCATGCTTCATGAGCTGAAAAGCACTAAAGTACCATATAGCCAGAAAGTTTCATGGCAAAAAAACTTTCGTGGTTTGGTGGCTCCCAGCCTCTCATTAACCTGCAAATATTTTGTGGTGTCATTCCAAACCACGAAAGTTTTTGGCCACAAAACTTTCTAGCTACATGTATATGGTATTAAATGTACATGGCTTTGGGGCTACTTAAAAATTCATAAAAAATTCAGAACCAACTCAAATTTGCTGCACAACATAAGAACATGCATATGTTTTAAGAAAAAATTTATAAAAATGGAGAATTCTCTCCTAGTCATTTTGGTGAAAATTTTAACCAAAAACCCTGTACATAAGGACACAACATAAAAACATGTGTATGCATAAGAAAAAATACAAAAAATGAGCAATCCGAAACCCTGTTTATGTCAACACAAAGTTAAAAGATATATACTTACATTTATTGTGCAGTAATGCCTCGCAGCATATTCAGTTACCAGAAAGAACAGTATGATAGAGACACCAATGTTCATGCTACTCAAAAAGAAAAGGTTGGAAGCTCTTCTTGTGCTGAGCGGCTTCAGTACATAAAAGAAAGCTAAAGGAAAATACATGTAAATAATAATAAAGAGAGGAAGTCAAGAGCTGTAGCCAGAGTAACCAGACATACCTCCCACTCCAGCAAAGAGCACAGTAACTATTGGGAGCACAAACCCAGTACCAGCTGAGAGCAGATACTCGTGGACTATAGAGGAGACCAGGAGTGTACAATACACAGCTAACTTCTTCCCAAAAATCTAAAAATGAGACAAGAGCACATAAAACATACTGAAGGGTGCTTTAAATCTTTAGTTTGGCAATTTTGTGCCCACGTGTATTACATCTACTCTTGGTAGTACTTATAAAAACAATTTGGCTACTTCAATCACAAAAAGCAATGCCAAAAGAAAAAGGTACTACAGAGAGGATGTGTAAACAGACAGACATACATGTACATGTACAATGTACATAGGCTATTATTCAATGAAGCCACATCAACTGCCCAGAATTATTTCCCCTATCAATAACACACTACAAACACTGCATCCTATAGGTTACTATACCTACTACGGAAATGAAATACATGATGCATTTCTAAAATGACTATACAGGTGCTAATGGCTAATGTGTGTTTACCTTCTTCAAATCAAGATAGACATAAGAGTGTATCCAGTCATGAACGAGCAAGTTCCATTTTCGATAGTAAGAGGAGTATGTCGTACATGTCCACCATTCCTATGATAGGTGAGTGACAATCAGTGACAAGGGAAGAGAGAGAGAGAGAGAGAGAGAGAGGGAGGGAGGGAGGGAGGGAGGGAGGGAGGGAGGGAGGAAGAAAGAAAGGGAAAAGAGAGAGAAGGGAGAGAGAAAGGAAGATAGAACAGGAGAAAGAGAATCAATTTTAATACAAACAATCAGCTTTACATACACTAAAGAACTGTCTATCAGCGAATCCCATCAGCTCAGCCATCATGTTCAAATAAGCATTCAGTATAGCTGTGTGTGCTATGAACTTTATGACAAAAGCCAACACAAGACACATCAACAGAGTATTAACAAGATCACCTTGTCTAGAAGTAAAAGGAAGAGTTCTATGAATACTGAATGGTATATACATAGAATAATTATAGATCACATTTTCTGATAATAATTATGACTTTCTTTCTCTCTCTCTCTCTCCATAATAAAACCTTGTATAACATAGGCGTAGGAATGATTCAAAAGTTGGGGGTGGGCTCAACATTAAAAAGCATGACTTAGCATGTGAACATGGGGGGGGCTAAGCCCTTCTTGCTGAAAAGTTGGGGGGGGGGGTTTCAGCCCCCCCAGCCTCCCCCCATTCCTACGCCTATGTATAAGTGTCAAATAATACACACCATTTGTGGTAAATCCCCAGTATGTGTAAAGGTGTAATATTACACAAAGGATGTTTATGGAAACTTAAGCTTTACAAGAGCAAAGGTCATTATATATTAATCCTTAACTTCACATCCTTTGTATTATGTACTCTCTTTCTCTCCACTCACTTTAGCGAAGGTGGGAATATGATATTCTTCAATATGAAAACTGAGGACCACAGTGCTAACAGAAACTAAAGTGTTGAAATATTGAAAACAAGTCAAAAGTAACCTGTTGCTACCTTAATACCAGAAGTGAGGACAAACGACCAGTCGATGCTATTTTTCCTAAAATAAAATTGCAATAGTTACAGTGTACACTTGCATTAAATAATTAGAAATAATGTACTATCTATCTCTGCTGCATGACAAACATTGGAATGGCAACTCTATACTATTTTCTTAGTCAGTTCAGTTGTTTACTGTTTTGGGAAGCAAATATTTGGCAAATAAAGCAGTGACATGTGGTAACTCGAAGATTCAATTCATTGAAATTTACAACACATGACATCCAGAATGTACTGGCATGTCAGAATTACCTAGGATAGTGATCTCTGTATAATAATGTAGGACAGAACAGAAAGTAGATATACTGACGGAATGATCCAACTTTAGGACTCATTTGACCCTCATACCACACAGCAGGGCCAGTCTTATCATCCTTGCTCCAAGGATACAATACCTTGTATGCATTCTCACGCACAAACGAGTAGTTCTTCATAAACATGCGAAACTGAAAATGAAGAAAATAAAAAGATAACAATGACATTATTATTAATATTCACCTGCTCCACTCCAATAACTAAATTGAGCAAATGAGGCAGAGTTGCATTCACTATGATATACACTGTACAAGCAAAACTAATGGAGTTATAAGCAACATAGAGTATCATTGTTAGAACATCAATAATGCCACAGCAACCCCCAACTGTCCTTGTCTTCCTCCATACCTGTGGCAAAATAACTTAAGTTAATAGTACATGGCACATACATGTAGTACAATGTGGTAGCTGTAATTCAATCCTATATTGCATTCATAATGTACATTGCTATTTCTTATTATGTAAAACTATTGATTACACAATCACAAGTTGAATGGGTTGGTAATAAGATTAAAAACTCACAATAGACTCAATACAGTGACTGAGTATTGAATAGTCATAGTGTACACATATTGATAATAAGGATCAATGATATTAATGTACAATAACATAGTGTGATAAGCTATGGTGTCATAAACCAGGCAATGCTGTGTTGTAAATCAATAAACAGGATCACGCTTGACTTTAAATTAAAATTCCAAAACATTTACAGTGAGTAGGGAACAAAGAATGCATTACAGCCTAGTTTATATTCCTCCCTCCCTCTCTCTCTCCCACTCTCTTACATTGAGTAATGGGTGTATTAGCAACACCCAAGCATGTAGACATATTTCAATAATTATGAAGGTGGCTATATCCGACATGGAGCCAAATCCAGCAGTGAAGAGTGACATGTTAAGGTACAACCTACCAGAAGGAGAGAACCCAAAAGATAAAGACAGAGAAAGAGATTTTGACACTCACTTTCCAGCTGAATAAGAGTCCTTGCCAAGTGCTAGGAGTAATATGAGTAACAGTTGTATGAGGAAAGCATCATGGATTGCTTGGAAGTTAGGATCAGATGATATCAGAGAGCTGCAAAGTGTAATACAAAAAATGCTTTATTTTGACGTGTAGCTACAAGCTTTCTTCTTACCTTGTCACTGATTCCTGTGAGCGGAATATCCTGCAAGGAGCTCTAACGGGAGATGAAGAAGAGCTAAAGAGCGAGAAATGAAGTTATACAAACAAATTGTTCACACCTATCAGAATCTTCAGAGTAGTCTTGTTGCTTTACTCCTACCAGGCCACGGCCTTTCCCTTTATTCACCTAAAGGAAAGTGTAACCAGTTTAAGCTAAGGAGAGGAGGGTTGCCACTGACCTCTTTTCTTCTCATGATCTGCTTTCGCTTGTTTGTTATCAGCAGTACAGCCTCAGAAAGTGAAACGATAGGGAAGAAGAGCGGCTATGCAGCAACACGTGAAGTCTAAACTGCAAAAAGTGGCCTGTTTTGTATTGAACCCACCCACTTATATTTTTAACCCTTCAACATAATTGTCCAATTTTGACGTTCAGTCAACGTGCATTTGTGTGGAGGGTACTCAGGTAGGCTACACTACTAACTGCTCATCATGCCATTAGAGAGAAGAGAAAGATCTCGTTCCAGGGACCGTGAAAGAAGGAGAAAAAGGGACAGAAGATCCAGGTACGAATTAATGCTAATATTGCTGTTATTATTTTTAAATTATTGTTGTTACTATTATGTATATATCAATTATGTATATATAACAATAATAATTAATAACAATAATAATGTCTAGGTCACGTAGTCCAACCAAACACAAGAGACGTGATAACAGAAGGTGAGTTGAATAAAGTACTTAATTGGTTTTAAATTATTACTAGATCTGGCAGTCGGGGGAGGAGCCGTTCACCTAGAAAAAGAAGTCGATCCCCTAGAAGGAGCCGTTCTCCTAGAAAGAGAAGTCGGTCCCCTAGAAGGAGTCGTTCCCCTCGTAATAAGAGTCGGTCTCCTAGAAGGAGTCGTTCTCCTCGAAAGAGAAGTCGATCCCCTCGGGATAGAAGTCAATCTCCTAGAAGGAGTCGTTCCCCTCAGAGCAGGAGAAGGGAGAGGTACATGTTTTAAGATTCATTTAGTGTGTGGCAAGATTGCAAGTAGTAGAACTTTTGTATAATGGACACTTTGGGACAATAAAGTTATACAGAGGTGTCCTTTATCTGAAGGACAGTCTGATTAATAATGCTTTACTGTGTACATGTGTTTCATGTAGATGGCAGTTGGGGAATTTTTTATTATTCGTTTACCAATTGAACTTTGTACATGACAGTGCACGCATGATTACATGTGCATGAAAGTGTATTGATACATATATAGGTATGTATGCATACTAGCCAGCTGTAAACATTTATTAAATTATAGTACTAATTCTCTGTATAGCCTTAACAGTTTATCAACATACAACTATATTACAAATTAAACACTGTCAAACCTTTCACTTTTGGAATGGCACAAAAAGGCTTTCCAGTCAAAACATGTTATTGTACTTTACAAATACACAGAAGCTGTACATCCATGCATATGTACTTGTACATGTATAAGGAACCTACTGTGTGTACTAGGAAAGTCCTGGGAAGGAGGAAGGAGGTTAAAGGTTAAGCCTAATGGTAGTGTCCCTTGCTAAATCTTCTACTTCAATAGGATAATGCATTATATCAGGATTAGTGTATAATTGTTGCTTTTGTGATGTGTTTAGGTCACGGAGTCGAGAGAGGAGGGAAAAGGAGAGAGAAGAGAGTCGCCCGTCGATAAAGAAAAAGGACGAGGAAGAGAAAGATGGAGGCACTGGAGAGAAACAGGGAGAAGAAGAAATGGAGACTAAACCACAAAAAAGACAAGTAAGAGAAAGGAATAATAATAATGCACGTACTTGTACATGTAACACATGTAGTAGTAATAGTTGTAGTGATACACATAGTTTGAATCATAATGTTTGCTAGTTAGTTGCTAGTTCCAGCTCTTGTCTGCTAATCTGTTGAGCTATTTTGATCATCTTTTTTTATTTTCTAGCCTTTGTCATTAGAGGATCTAATGGCTAAGAGAGATCAAGAGGCCCAGGCACTACAGAAAGTATGTTACTACAAGTACTGATGTATAGCCTGACACTTTATCCCCCCTCTCTCTCTCTTTTCTCTCTCTCTTTAGCCTGTTTTCCTGAGCAAGAAGGAAAGGGAGGAGTTGGCTCTTAAGAAACGTCAAGAGGAGGTTGAGGCCCAGCGTAAGAAAATGGAAGAAGAAAGACTCAAACGCCAGCAGTACCTCCACAGTAAGAGTGACATAAGAATAGCATCTTTGATTTATTTTATCATCTTTCTCTCTTCTCAGGTCAGGATAGTTATCGTTCTCGGGATAATCCTGAGGTATGCATGTAACATATTCATAATGTACATGTACATGTACACATGCACATTTTCATATACATGTACATGTTTACCCGAATCTTATATGTATAGTCTAGGGCCATACACATAAAAAAATACCCAAAGCTTTACTTGTATAAACATTTACATGTTGTCATTGTTTCATTAGGAAAGAGAAAAGAGACAGAAAGAACGAGAGGACTTGCTCATACAGAAGGACAAGGACAGAGAAATGGATACCATTAAGGTTTACATGTACATGTACATGTACATTATATGGAAGTACATGTAGATTGTATGTACAATGTACATGTGCATGTAATACGTGTATGCCCTATGAAATAGTTCATCTTGTAACATGATGTTACATGCATGTTTCACTTGTGTTTAAGCACTGTTTTCCTGGTATGGTGTACAGTGTATAGTAAAGGTTAATTATTAAAGCATATTTTACTAAATTGAAACACAGTTGGAATGTGCTAATGAGGAAAGGGAGGAAGGAAAAGAGAGGGATGAGGAATTAATGCACGTGTATGTCATAAAGATCAGACACCATCTTACCTTTTCATTCTCTCTCTCTCACTCTCTCTCTCTCACTCTCTCTCTCTCTCATGTACTCCATTAGTCGAGGTACTTAGGTGGGGAAAAGAGGAAGAGGCGAATGAGACGACTAACCGACCGAAAATTTGTGTTTGACTGGGACTCAAATGAAGATACTTCTAATGATTTCAATCCTTTGTAAGGCCACACCCACAGCCTCTCCCACCTTAATATTGTGGTACGTGTATTGTAGGTATAGGAATAGACACCAGTTGCAGTTTTTTGGGCGTGGTCATATTGCCGGGATTGATATTAAAGTGAGTGAGCGATTTTTAATATAATTTGGTCATGATTTTATCCTCTGTATGCTTGTATATAACATTATATATAACTGAATAGGCACAAAAGAGAGAGCAGTCTAAGTTTTATTCTAATTTACTCGAAAGTAGGAGAACTGATGAAGAGAAGAAACAGGCCGAGTAAGTACATGTACATGTACATGTAGACTTGAACTGACAGTGTGTCACTGTACGTGAATACATCATGTAGTTGTGTACAATGACACACTGTCAGTTCAAGTGCTTATTTTTTGACAGAAATGACACTGTGAGTTTATAGTTGCAGATATATTTGATGTTTTTGTGCTGGCATTTCAGTTGCAATCACATGAAAACATGAAAGTATTTTGTGTTTTGTGCCATTGGCTCATTAGGCTGTAAGGCTCCTCCTTGTACTTGTGTTTTCACCAAGAGTGGATTTTTTACAAATTTTCAAAATTACTCAAAAATCAGGCCAAAGTCCCTGTACTATAGTACAGGGATTTTGTCCAAATTTCATTAAAAATGAAAGGAGAGAATTCTCTATTTTTATAATTTTTTCTGATGCATATACATGGTCTTTTGTTGTGTAGAAAGTTTGAACTGATTCCGATCAAGTTTGGACTTTTTTACATTTTTAAAACTTTGCTCAAAAATCAGACTAAAAGCAAAGACCATGGGCACAGGGTATTTCATCAAAAATGGCTAGGAGTTTATAATTTTTCTATTATTAAAATTTTTCCATGGAATAAAACTAAAGGCAAGGCAAAAAATGAAGATCATATGACTACTCCATTTTAATTTTTTATTTGTATGGGTTGAAAACCTGTACACAGTTTAATAATAAATAAAGTAAAATATTGTTCCTTGGGGTAGAGTGGTGTTCTATTATTCACATTCTTTCTGTAGAGAGAATGAGTCAAAGAAAAGAGAAAAGGAAGACAAGATAAAATGGGACGAGCGACATTGGACCGAGAAGAAACTGGACGAGATGACAGACCGCGACTGGAGAATATTCAGGGAAGACTACAACATCACTACGAAAGGTGGGCGTGTACCTCACCCCATACGCTACTGGTCGGAAGGAGGCCTGCCAGAGAAGATAACAGACGTGATCAGAGGTTTAGGGTACAAGGAACCAACTGCTATACAGCGTCAGGCTATACCTATTGGATTACAGAACAGGGATATCATTGGCATCGCTGAGACAGGGAGCGGTAAAACAGCTGCCTTTGTTATACCTTTACTGGTTTGGGTTACCAGTCTACCCAAGATTGTGAGGTATGTCTGACAATAGTAATTTTATATTTATCTCCTCTCTCTCCCTCCTCTCTCTTTCTCATCCAGGGAGGCTGACGTTGATCAAGGTCCTTATGCCATCATTCTAGCTCCTACTCGTGAATTGGCTCAACAAATTGAAGAGGAGACGATGAAGTTTGCCAAGCCTCTCGACGTCCGTACGGTCTCCCTTGTTGGTGGTCTCTCTCGGGAGGAGCAAGGCTTTCAACTCCGCCTTGGTTGCGAGATTGTCATAGCCACTCCTGGTCGTCTCATTGATGTCCTTGAGAATCGCTACCTCGTCTTATCTCAGTGCACGTATATAGTACTTGATGAGGCAGACAGGATGATTGATATGGGCTTTGAGCCTGAAGTACAGAAGATCCTTGCCCACCTACCCGTCTCTAACATGAAGCCAGACTCTGATGATGCTGAGGATCCCACTAAGATGCTGGTTGGTATCAATTCCTCTCATCATCGCTACCGTCAGACTGTTATGTTTACCGCTACCATGCCTCCCGCAGTTGAGAGACTAGCTCGCACGTACCTCCGTCGTCCCTGCGTAGTGTACATTGGATCAATAGGTAGGAGCAAACAAACTCACTACAATACTTTCTGCATGTTATTTCTACTCTCCCTCAAATTTTTATTTTTGTGTGCTGAGTCTTATGTCTATTTATTTAATCTCATACTCACTTTATTTGTATGTTCTTGTTCGACTAAAATAACTAATAGGAGGCTAATGGCTAATGCTTATAGACCCATGCATATGTCATTGAAAAACTATTTTATAAGCTAATGATATACATGTACTAATAGTATACTAATAATGTACTAATATTATCCTAATAATATACTAATAGTATACTAATATTATACTGATAGTGTACTAATAATAATACTAAATTTTTATGTTTACAGGTAAGCCTGTTGATCGGGTTGAACAGGTTGTGTACATGGTCTCTGAGGTTGAGAAGAGAAAGAAGCTGCAGCAGATCTTAGCCGGTGGCGATGTTGAGCCACCTATCATAATATTTGTCAATCAAAAGAAAGGAGCTGACGTTCTCTCCAAGTCACTGGAGAAGATTGGCTACAGGGCAACGACTCTTCACGGTGGACGGAATCAAGAGCAGAGAGAGTTTGCACTGGCTAGCCTCAAGAAAGGAGAGAAGGACATTCTCGTGGCAACTGATGTTGCTGGCAGAGGAATTGACATCAGGTTACTAATGGGAGTGTTATTATTAGTAGTAGTAATAGCAAGAGTAAATTATGCCTAAAGAGAGTCTCCTACTACTTGTAGTAGTAATAACAAGAGTTGATAATTAGTTCTTGGTAATGGTAGTAATAGTATAAACATGACACAAAGAGACTATGGAAAAAACAAGTATATTCTTACTTAAACAATTATTAGTATTATAGTATTTTTATATTTTTGTTCCTCTCTTCTGCAGAGATGTTACAATGGTACTAAACTATGACATGGCTAAGAGTATCGAGGACTATACTCATCGTATAGGTAGGACTGGCCGAGCTGGTAAAACCGGTTTGGCAATCACTTTCCTAACTAAAGATGACTCTGCGGTATACTATGATCTGAAGCAGCTGCTGCTTGAGAGTCCTGTGTCCTCCTGTCCTTCCGAGTTATTGAATCATCCTGATGCACAGCATAAACCTGGTACTGTTGTACAGAAGAAACGTAAAGATGAGACCATCTATACTAACTGAATGAATAATCATGACTTTATAGCTATTTTTGATTGTAAAACGTTTGTCTACTCTGGGTTTTTCACAAAGCATGCTAAGTGAGCCAAATGCAAGCTTTGTGAGCTGACAAGCACTACAATACAGTACATGGCATTTGGAGCTTTAAAAATTCATTAAAAAATCTATTTTGATCTGAACCAGCTCAAACTTTCTATGCAACATAAGTACATGTATATGCATCAGAAAGAGTTACAAAAATGGAGAATTCTCTCCCTTTTAATTTTTGACAAAGACTCTGCATGTGCAGAGACTTTGGCCTGATTTTGAGCAGCTTGAAAAAATTGTAAAAAAAATCTTAACTTGATTGGAATCAGCTTAAACTTTCTACACTTTCAAAAAGTAATAATTATTATAGGCCGGAAGTATCTTTCACGAAAATTAATTCAAATTGAGATTTATTTTTAAAAAATTAACTAGAACTCTTGATAGTATCTAATAGTATCATTAAATTATTATTTGTCAGTCCTGAAATTAATCAACCATTTTGAGGGTCTCTCATTAGCATTTCCACTTTTTCCAGTATACCATATCAATTTCCTCATTAATATTAAAGCATGCTTTCACCAGTGTAAGATTTGTGTATTTGTTGGTGGCAAATGCTATGAAAAAATATCTCTCTGATGTAACAAATGTCACATTAAAACTCTCAGTTGGAGGTAATGTGGTATTATAATAATTTGTCCAAGCAACGGGCTTTAAAATAGGGTAAAGACGAATGAGGAAAACTCTGTAGCGTGATACACTTTGGTCATGAGGGGTGAGATAAGTATAGTTAGTGGTAAATATTCCTGGACTATAGCTCAGGTATCCTTGTACTGTTTCATTCACAGGATCTGTTAATGAAAGATGATATGAGAATTGATAAATAAGTTAGTATGGACAATGCAGTATACATGCAGATACTACATCATCTTCCATGATTGCATATATATCTAGATAGAGTAGTTGTACATAGGAATTATACTGTAGGGCACCTGTTTCAAGGGCTGTAAATTTTGCAAATTTGCACTTAGCGGATTTAATTTTTGCAAATTTATGCCATCTCTTGTACCATAATAATTTGATTTTTTCAGAAGTAATTTTCGTGAATCTTCAAAAAATTGCAAAATTTACAGCCCTCGAAAGAAAGGCACCCTACGATATCTTAATGTGACATCATTAAACAGTGAAATATTCTTTTACGACAATAGCCGCCACATAATATTATGCTACACTATTTATGAGGAAGATGATGGTAGTATCTGCATGCGGCAGTTATTGCCGTAAAATAATTCATTGTGGCTGATGTTTGATAATGTCACATTAAGATATAATTCCTACAATTACTCCTATCTAGATATATACGCAATCATTATTACTATTACAAAACTTACAGCCAATATCCAGTACATACCAGAGTGTAACATTCCCATTAGCATTGCTGGCAGTGCAATAATAGTTCCCACTGTTATGAACAACAGCATTATGCACCTTGATCAATCTGTGTTCAGGGAGCCAGTCCACATTGGAGGTTTCCTTAACTGTTGTACTAAATGTTACTTTAGATGGAGGATTTGTCTTCTCACGTAGGGCACAGCTTAGAGTGATACCACTATTGACCAGCCTTATGTGAGTTGCATTGGGATGATGAAATCTTGGCCCAACTATAAAAGGAAAAAGTAAATAGCCAATGATGCAAAATGAAATTTAACTTACAATATGCAACAAGTGAAA